TTAGAATATTGTCAACGTACGTTTTAAATGAATATTGAAATATTGATAGAAAAAGTGTTTGATTTTCTGTTTGAGCATTATCTGTCCAGATAACCAACCTGTCTGGACACCCAGCAGGTGGGTACTAACAAAAACACCGCAATAGACCTTGGTATATGTAAATGAGCCTTTAGTTGGGATATACAGGCAGACAATATTTGTACAAATGAATATTGAAACATTAGTAGTCAATTCCATGATTCATTCATAAACTTTGAAGATGTTAGTCACAAATCAAAATTTGAAATACAGACATTCTTATATTAATTACTTTATTACATACAAATGCATTGTGTGTACTTTTGAAGTTGCTCTTTGTTTTGTATTTAAAAAAAATAGAATTCGTAATCATTATAGTAGTAGTCTAAATGACAAGGATCTATATTGTGAATCGGTTATTGACTGATTGTATCTGACAGATGAGCTTGTTGGAGCCACAGCAAGGGTACAAGTGCATGAAGAACAGACAGACACCCAGAACACTGAGGAAGAAGAAAAGGAGGAGGGAGGAGAGGATCACATTGCCATGGAAAGCCTGCCCCATGAAACAGGTTAATGTTGTGCTTTGAACAATATCAGCATAAATTGATTTGGATAATATGTAAATAAAATAAATGTATTTTTGCAGAATAAAAAGTAAAATAATTCCTTGGAATAATTTTTTTGTAGAACAAAACAAAATGTGTCAAATAAAATGTTGGCGATTACATTTTTTTAAAATAAAATGTGGCGAATAAAAATCTTGTCTTATACAATTTTTTGTTGAATAAAATTTTTGTCGAATGAAATTTTTGTCGAATAAAATTTGTGTCAATTAATTTTTTTGACAAATACAATTTTTGACGAACAATGTGTCAAATGAAATTCATGTCGAATAAAATTCTTGTCAAATAAAGCTTGTCAAATATTTTCTGAAATTGTTGAATATATAAATTTGAGTGAAATATATTTTTTGAAAGTGTCGCATATACTTATTTGTTTCCCTAAAGGCGTGCCATAGACGCCTTTAAAAGATAAAAACTTTAAACATTTGTAAGAATATACTTATACAGTAGGCTTGCGGATGCACCATGTGAGAGAGAGGGAGGATTGAGGAGTCCTGAAAAGGTAATGGGTACTTGTTGATAAGGGGTTTCCTGATATCGTTGATGTATAATCCTGAGTCTTGGGGCACGGTGTTGTTCCCGTGAATTTCGATGGCTTCTCGGATTCGGCGTGTATGCCAGTGCTTCATTATGGAGATGAGATGACTGATATCCCATTCGATGGTGTTTATTTATTCATTTATTCGTTTTATTTAAAAAGGGTAACTCTCTCAGTATAAATACTGTTTTTCTGAGAGGCCCTGTACACAAAAATTGATCACAAATACATAAAATAACACAAAATGTTAAAAGACGTATACATGATTTTATTTATATCAGGGTTATTCGTTCGATGTTGTTGCATGGCGTGTTTGACGATGTCGGACTTATCCCAATCGCTAAATCTGAAGCTGGTTCTGTGCTCCTTTAGTCTTGTTTCCAGATTTCTCCCCGTTTCACCAATGTAGACTTTTCCACATTCGCATGGTATTTTGTAGACTCCAGCTTTCTTGTGGTTTGGATGCTTGTCTCTGTGGGAGTGGAGTATCGATTGGAGTTTGTTGGATGTCTGCTGCTTGAAGGATACGTTGAAATTTTTCACATGGTGCGCAAGCCTACTGTATATCTACATCACCATGCATGCCGATACTTACAAGCAGCATCTAAGAATATACTTCTTTTACACTTATTCCTGACATGAAAATGATTCTTCAGAGTGACATTGCCCTTAAGTGCTTTATAAACTATATTTCATATTTTGCTAAATGTTGAAGCACAATTATGTATTATATTGTTTGCGGAGGGTTTGCAAAAAGGTTTTATTGGAAATATCTCTTATGATTTTCAGTACCAGATGAAGTAAATGTCAAACCAATCAAGATGGAATGTTGTAAGAGAGTTGGAGTTGAAGGTGGCAAACTTCAGCTAGATTCCTTCGGAATTGAACTTGAGATCCCTCCCGGTGCAATTGGCAGCGAAGCGCCGCAGGACATTTCTCTTCTTGTCCTGACAGATACTCCTAATCTTGGCAACAGTAAAGAAGAGATGTCAGTCTGCTTTGGTGTACAGTGTTTAGCCCCTGATGACTTAGTTCTTAAGTTACCGGTGATTTACACAATACCTCACTGTGCTGTGATTACACGATACTCCAGTGTTGAGGCAGTCTTGTACACGGGAGAGGGAGAATACTCACCCGGTAAGTACATCTTTACATGTATGCACATAATGGGGCAATGGTATTCGATGAATGCCATTAATGTCAAAACCTTTTTGGTTAATAAATGAATCACAAATCATTAAGTAAATGAAAAAAAGGAACTCCATTTTCCATTAAAAGTACTAGGTGTATTATGAAAATGTTTGACACTTTTGACGGTGAGTGACTCAAAAAGTTGTTGATGTTTTCACATTGTAGAGTTGAACTCAGGAAAGCTGACTGGAACTATGTCAAGTCCATCTTTACTTCTGATGAAGATGATGACGAAGATCCAGGTAAGTACAACTGCATGAAGAGATTCCGGCAATTCATCAAGCATAACAACTGACAGTGCTTGAATTGCGGAACTCAAATCTGACGGCCTGCTAATCAGTGGACCTGCTGAGAAAGCTGATGCCCTGAATAGACAGTTCAAGAAAGTTTTCACATTGTAAATTCCAATCCCTCCTCAGCTGTTGCCAGACACTTCTGAACGCGAATTACTGCCCGACATAATGATAACTGTGAATGGCATCGAGAGGATGCTTGAGAAGCTCGAACCAAATAGAGCGCCAGGGCCCGATGGGATCACCCCACGCATCCTGAAGCAGCTATCCAGAGTCATCGCTCCCATCTAAGGCAGCATCTACAGACTCTCGTATGACATCGTCGAGATACCGGATGACTGGCACAAAGCATAGGTGGTGCCCGTATACAAGAAAGGGGATAGAACCGGTCCAGGCAACTATCGCTCAATTTCCCTCACATGCATGTGCTGCAAGATGATGGAGCACATCCTTGCAAGTAGCATCATGAGCCATGGCGATGAAAAGGAAATCCTCCCCGAGTCCACTCCCTCCAACATCGGTTGTGAGCAAAGAGATCCTGCGAGCAACAACTACTGGGATTCGTCAGTGACCTTCACATGAACATGGAGCTAGGACTGAAAAATGTCTTTGTCATGGAATTCGACAAGGTCGGTCACAAGAGACTACTGCACAAGCTGAATTACTTTGGAGTGAGAGGCAAAAGTAACAGGTGGATCACCAATTTTCTTCACCATCGGAACCAGCAAGTCGTTCTAGAAGGCCATGCATCACCTGAGGTTGATGTCGACTCAGAAGTACCTCAAGGCTCTGTCCTCGGACCCTCTCTAGCCATGTACTACATCAACGACCTGCAAAACAAGCTCACCTCTCCAGTAGGTCTCTTTGAAGACGACGCCGTCATCTACATAGCAATCAAGGGCAGACAAGACTCTCTTGAACTACAGGAGGATCTTAATAGACTCGCTGAATGGATGATGGAGCTCAATACGGACAAGTGCAAGGCCATCACAAGTATATGCAAGAAAGCAACGATACCTTCTCCGGATCTCCGGATCAACTCACCAGACCTGAAGAGTCCTGCCTACAAAGCACTAGGAAGACCACTCAATGAGTGCAGTGCCACAGTTTGGAATCCCTCCTCTGTAAACCAAATCCATCAAATATAAATGGTACAAAGACGTGCCGCTAGATTCACCCTAAATCAGTACCTCCGTGACCTCCGTGCTCCAACAACTTGACTGGACCACACTCGAGCAACGCAGAGAAAATTACAGACTGGTGATGCCGTACAAGCTCCAAAACAACCTGGTAACACTCGGCACAGCACCCACATCAACCCTGTCACAAGACCCACCGTGCAGGATTGCCCATGCACATAGCTACCATGTCTCCCCCCCCCCCCCCCCCCTTCATGAACTGAGCAACATATAAAGCAGTCCTTCTTTCCCATCAGGAACAGTATGTGCCACATCCGTCAATGCCTGACGGGAGGCCGCAACTAAGTCCGGGAACTTTTTACTTGCACCATGTTAATAGCATTGCACCATGCACCTGGCTCTCGTAAGCACACACACGCTCTTTGGTCTTCAAGAATCTGCAACTGTGAAGGAGGTAGACTTAACTCAAAGAAAAAGAAGAAGAAGAAGAAGAAGAAAACTGTCCCAACAATGTATTGTAAAAAAAAAGGGGGAAAAGAAAGAAAAAATAAAGGGGGGAAATAAAGCTTGGCAAAAAATGCGATAATCCCCTCCGTTGTTTCCCCGCTCCCCCGTGATGCCTGTGCCCCTCAACTTATGAATCCACTCTATGCCGCTGATACACTCCATAAATGTAAAATAATTATGAGTGATAATTAGGAGTAATGCACAAACAAAAATTGTCATTGAACTGGGGTGGTATTCTGAAACTACTGTATAAGCATGAAAAGTATGTATAAGCTAACATAATTGGTACTCTGTAAACGATGTTAAGTCCAAAAAAGTTGTTGGTGGGAAGATACGCATACTCACAACCTTACGCAAACCTCATACGTGGCAGCGTACTATTTTAACCGGGCTATTTCAGACCAGGTTTTTACCGGGTGGGGGTCAATTTGACCCCCCCCCCCCCCCCCTAAGATCTCGGCCGTTTCACAGCTGATCGCCGCGAAAATTTGCACGCATGTCAAGTGAAGTGTATATAATACTATGGTAATTTACATTTTTTTTATAATTCACTCATTCGCATATTAATAGTAATTTATTTAAGTAAGGTCATAAAATTCAGATTTCTACCCATTAAAGTTCTGGCTGAATTTTCTACTAAGGCTAATGAGATATGATGCAACCACGAAATGCGTGCCTGGAAAGCAATATGCCAAGTACAGCAGACGCCCTCTCAAGAGCACCAGTAGCATCCCCAAAGCCAAAGGACATTGAGCTAAACAAACTGACCGAAGCTTTTGCATCTTCATCTACCCTCACCTTACCTGCAACAGACCAGGGACTGGAGGAGATTAGAGACGCACAGAGACTTGATAAAGAATGTGTGTTATCAGAGAGTATTGTGAGAAAGGATATGGCCTGACTACATGCAACACAACCCTATCATCAGGCAATACTTTGAACAGAGGGGACACCTCAGTGTGATTGATGATTTGCTCCTGTATGATGAAAGACGGGTCATTCCCAGGGCTCCGAGACTAGACATCCTACAGCGCTAACATCAAGGTTATCTAGGCATCACAAAGTGCAGAGCCAGAGCTCGACAGCCGGTCTGGTGGCCAGGCCTCTCGAAGTCAGATGAAGAAATGATCTTAAGAGCCACTGATGACTTCGTCCTTCCCATTGCGTCATTGGTAAATACTAGGGATGGACCTTTCCGAGTATCAAGGAAAGATGTTTCTTATAGTAGTGGACTACTATTTAAGATGGATAGAAGTCAAAGGGCTACATGGACACACTTCTGAAGCCTTGATCAAAATTCTTGAAGGAGATATTTGCTGTACACGGTGTCCCTGTAGTGGTGATTTCGGATAACGGACCACAATTCGTGAATGAGACTTTCCGGAAATTCACGAAGTAGTATGGATTTGTCCATACTACCAGCTCACCAAGGTATCCTCGAGCAAATGGGGGGAGAGGGGGGGGGGGGGGAGGGGGGGGGGGGGGGGAGCGAGGTGTACAAACATTGAAAGCCTTGTTGAAAAAGAATGATGATATCGACCTTGCTTTGCTGAGTTAACAGTCGACACCACTTTAGAATGGTCAGGCGCCATGTGAGCTGCTCATGGGACGGAGACTGCGAACTGAACTCCCCACTCTACCTGATACACTTATGCCACAAGTCCATGCTCGGGACTTGGAAAAAGTGAGAAGTGAGAAATACCGTTCAAATCAGACACTGAACTACAACCGACGACATATTACTCTTACTGACCCTACTGCAAGGTGATGGAGGGTGGATCCAAGATCAAGCTCGACGTGGTCAAGTGGTCAGTGGAACCCGTATCCACGATCCTACATCATCCAAACGGATAATGGTAGGGTGAGACGAAATAGACGCGCCTTGGTAGCCCTTCATAGCCTGGATGTCGCCGACCCTAACAAAGCCATCTACCACCCCCCCCCCCTCAACCCCTCTCGATGATGACGACAATGTAGGTCCTGAGCAATCCCCCGCCTACCAAGGGAAGTAGGGACGCCCTTTCCAATCAGGTCCCTAAAACAACACTGGGATATCATACCCCTTCTGGTAGACTAGTCAAACAACCACATCGATTGAATATATAGAAGATAATAGGGAAGCATGAATAAAATAGGTTTGAAGAAATCAAGATAAAGGATTGTACTGAACATTTTTTCACAAGGGGTATTAGATAATGTAATACAAAGTTTGTGTATGAAAACAAGAAGTTGGCTAAAAAAAATACATATACACCCATGCACTTCCAAATTGTGTTTTAATGTAACTTGAAAAGAACTGTTAAATACTGGGCAGGAGATGTAGTATAACGGCATCATTGTACTACTTGAAATAAGATTACACTTCATTACACTTCATCAGATACGAGACTGGGCTGTGTGGTATTAAAATGGTTGAAACTAAATCACGTCTCACCGCCTCGTCTGTTGATTTACATTAATTCTAAGGTAATCGAACCACCATAATAGACATGTCGGGGAGTTACCTACAAAAAAAGATAATATCCTCTAAAAATAGTTTTCATAATACCGATTTAGAGCTTTGTTAAAGGTATGTCAATTCTTGGACTTGGACTTAAACATTAGTTTTAAGAATACTGCCCCTGATCAACTTTTGTGTTTAGGCTGTTTATAAAAATGACACATTTCTCGAGGGATTGGTCTGAAGGGTTAAGTATCAAAACTTTGCTAATTTGAATAACAATGACTCTATGTAGAGGTATTTGCCTTTTCTTGTTATTGAACTACTATAACAAATATGTTTATTCCTAGCTTAAATGAGCCGTACATTTCTTGATTTTCTTTCCCAAATTGTTGATTTTAATATAGATGCAGTTGTTAAAGAACGAATTATGTTGTCGAGATCTGGAGTACCTAGCTGCACCATCAAAACAGATGTACTCAAACTGAAGATGAATCACTTTTCATGGATGATGATTAAGTTCTTGTTCAGAGATTTCTTCTACCCAGAAAAGAGGATGTGCTGTCGGCCGTTTAAAGAAAAGAACTTAGCCCTGCAGAAGACACCTGTCATTCTACATGCACACCTCTATGACGACATCAAAGGGAATAGTGAGGTAAATTACTGTTGCAGCAGTTGATTTGGAAGTTGGGGAATCTGACACAATATACTGTTTGTACATAATTTTCGAAAAATACGAATTATTAGAGTGAGCATTAACTAATCAACATAACAAATACTATGTTATCAAATTGTTACAAGACATTGTAGTTGGTGTACAGTACATCGAGGCACAGGGTCAACATTATGGAGACTACCTCCCACTGAAGAAACAGTACCCCATACATCAAAGACTTAGCTTACAATAGAACAAATGGAATAACAACAAAAACAAGGCAGTTTTTTCTAGCCCAAACTTTTCTACTCTGAGGTCAAAAGCCCGTATTGTTTTGCTTGTTTTTCTTTGTTTCCCCTTCAATCTATCCTTTTCTCCTTCGTCATCTATTTCTTTGTTTTAATCTGATAGATTCCTTTCTCCTTCTTGTATTCCCCTGTTTTTCCTTAGTCTAGATCTATGATCCTCTTTAAAAGCTCTTCAATTATGTATTTTTATGTTCTTCCTTTGACTTATCCTCTTCTCTTTCCTTTATGTATTTTCTTATTTTTCCTTCTCCATATCCTCTCCACTATCCTCGTTTTCCCCTTTCTATTATCTTCCTTTCCCTGGGTGTACGTGCTTGCACATAATATAGTGCGCTGACAATCTAGACTCTTTCACCAGAACACTTCTTGGATTCTTTTTCGCGAAAATGGCTAAAAAGTTGTGTAAAAAAAAATAAGCGCCTCCTGGGTCCGAGGGACCGAACTTGTGTTCCCAAAATCTCCGGAAAAGGTGTAATTTTCACGCAACATACTCCGGCCCCTAATAAACAAAAAATCCGGCCCTTACTGACTTTACACACCGGAGATAGAGGGGTGCTTTCAAAGAAAGGGAACATGCATGCGCGTATCCTAGATAACACTGTGTGGGAGGGGGGGGGGGCCGGGGGAAGAATAAGTCAGGTGAGAAAGGAGGGACGACAATTAAATGGCGCTAAGTGACCCGGCGCGGATTCAGGGTCTTTTAGCTTTGAAAATCGCGTAGCCCAACGAATCGCTCAGTAGGTGGGGGGGGGGGGGGGGGGGGGGGGGGGGGGGGGGGGGGGGTGAGCACTAATTTTTTTTGGACCCTCACAAATTTGAAAGATCGCACCCTCCCCTTGAGCTCCAGGGGGGGGGGGGCATCTCCAAAAAAGCAGTGGCGGATCCAGGGGGGGGGGGGGCACAGGGGGCACGCGGCCCAAAAAATATGTTAAAATCAGCCCTAAATTCGCCCAAAGTGCACTAAAAAACATAACCCCCCCGGCCGGCCATTTTTTAATTTTTTTTGTTTGTAATAAAAAAAATAAAAAAAATTATGCCAATGGCTGACCTAAAAAGGTGACCTTGCCCCCCCCCCCCCTCCCCCCAACGGAGCAAAATGTCAAATTAAAAAAAATTGTGACCCCCCCCCCCCCCCCAAAAAAAAAAATGTCTTCTAACCCCCCCCCCCCCTTCTCCCGCCCCCCCCCCCCCCCCCCCCCCGCTTATTCATCCGCTGGATGAGTCTTTGCGATTTTTTAGGGACCCCCCCCCCCGCTCGCTTGTGTTTGTATTTGAAGTCATGTTGGTCGCAATCATGGACAGGGGCAGATATCCTGGGCCCGATAGAGGGACACGTCCCCCAGGAAATTTAGAAATATAGCTAGAAAGAAATATAGCGGAAAGAACGGACATATTGGGCTTAGTGATTTTTCTAGAATGCATAATTTCAGCATTTAACATTGCAAAATCCCGCTTGGTCGATACGCCCCCTCGTCCAATAACACAACATTATCAAATGACGCTCCCGGCCGTGATTTATCCATGGTTGGTGTAAAAGATCTTTCTTTTCTTTTTTCTTCATTTCTACTAATCTAACAATCATGATTGTTTCATTTTCCCTTCGTGCGGTAGGGGGGAAACTGAATTCAGACAAGGATTAAGAGTCGAGATCGGTACAACGAATCGTCTTCTTTCTGTAATAATTTAATGAAACGTTAAGCTTTTGCGCTTTGCGTGGGAGGGGGGAACTGAATTCAGACAAAGAATAAGAGTCGAGAATGGTACAACAAATCGTCTTCTTTAACAATTAATGAAAGGTCAAAGCTTCTGCGCTTCGCGCTTAATGGGGGGGGGGGGAGGGGGAAGCGAGGTGCCCGAATATGATTGTTTTAATATCTCTTATCGTATATTTTGGTGATAAATAACACTTTCACAAAGTATATATTATGCTCAAATTTTTGCTCGCTTGCTCCGCTTAGTAGCAGAATTGTAAAACCAGAAAATTACTTGTTCGGGCAAGAAGCTTCAGCCCCCCCCCCCCCCGATGAAAATGTCAAAAAGTGTATAACTTTAATACGGGGAATGTTGATATCGGACAAGAGACGTGACGTGAGCCTGCCCCCTTTCCAAAATTGTGCCTGCTTGTAGGTACCGGTATGGTGCTTCTTATATGACCTTGGCAGTAGTGGTATGTTGAGTTGAAAAGATGGTCTGCACAATTTTCAAATTTCCGCCCCCCCTCCCCCCCCCCCCTCCCCCTATTGGAAAATCCTGGACCCGCGCCTGCCTTGCTGCCCGAAACAATCATGTTTCTAAATCTGTATTAAGGACACTGCTAATCTTTCAAATGTTATTTCCTCGTCAAAATGCACATTAATATGATATATATTTGGTCATCTTTCAGTTTCTGATACTTTAGTTTCATGAAGTTGATGTTATTCCAAAATATGTTTTGATATAACAAAATTTCTCTTGTGGCACCCTCAGCGATGCCTTGCGGCTCCCTGGTTGTAAAACCCTGCCATAGATATCCGTTATTAGCTAGGTGATTTTCTATCAATTTGCTCAAACTGAAAAGAATAACTCTAATAGTATGGTGGCATAGCAGAAAACCTGTGTACTTTTGTCTAAAACCACCATATTTTGCACATTCAGTAATTAACCCACACTGACATATATCATATATGAAAGCACTTCCAAAAAGTGTGTTATGTTGTAATTTCCCTTTGAATATCAACTATGCCTGTACAACTCGACGAGTATGTTTGTCCCTACCGCTACGCTGTAAGCGGTCGTATAGATGTCAGTAGAAAAGTGTTCCTACATTCAGAACATGCAATCTTGCCCAGTTGGAAATGGAAAAAGTTAAATGTTGGCACACTATTGTTTAACAGTGGAACAACATGAATCAGTTCAGTATTAAAGGGGCACCAAGGGGTTGCTGAGGGGGGGGGGGGGCAGTTACTCGGTTTATGAAATGTGAAAGAACAAAGTCATCGAGCGAAGAACCATGATTGGCTTCCTCTGTTGCCTATTTCTTTTTTCTTTGGTAACAGGTGGTAAAAAGCCAAGAAGGGGATCACGAATTCATACCTGCCCATATGGAATTACAGGTCCTTGTACAGACAGCAGAAGGTGATCTCAAAATGAACTGTTACGTAAACGCGACACTAATCGGAGGACCTGCTGTAAGTTTAGTAATGTGTTTAAAGATTGTGGTTATCTGAATAGCAAAGTTGAATCCATGCATCGTCGGATGATCTTGTGTATTGTTCTACTTGTTTCAAAACATACAGGTACACAAAGGCTCATATTTTAATCTGAACATCTAAAAGGATATCCAACTTGAGATTATTAGTTGTTGAACATTGCATTTTGCCCCGACCCTTAACATAAAAAAAAATCCTCTATGTGGACATGCCTTGAACCATAATGCATGGCCCTACAGAGGAATTTATCCTGTCGGGAACCGGGAATACAATGAATTATTGATAAATTATTGCACTTTCTTAGTTTTGTGTATTTGTGGGGGCGGCGACGTACCCTAGCCCCCGCTGCGTACCGTCATGATTCAGTGGCTAAGCAATGACCTTGTTACTGTGAGGCCCTGTAATAAAAACCGTGTCGATCAGGTATATCAGTGCCCTTTAATGAGGCATTAATCCTCATTACTGTCAGTTATGACTTAAGGACGTAGGTCCCCTATTTCATTATCATAGTAACATACACAGGCTTTAACAGTCACGCAAAAATAACACTCAGAAATTATTATTCAATAAAATCTGAGAATTTATACTATTATCTAGATCTATTAGGAATAAATCATTGTCAAAATCATTCCATAAAATGCGGTAAAAATAATTATTCCACCTATATGAGTGCAACTTCGTTTATATCCATCCATAGATTATAATAATAATAATGATAATAATAACGAGAAATTTAATTCGTTATTGAACAAATTAGGTGGTATGTTACTAAATCCTGTGGACGTCGATCTTGTTAAGAATTGTCACAGCTACAACGTATCAAAATTTGGAAGAAATCGATCAATATTTACAGAGATACAATAAGTTTTTCCATAAATATGCTGACGTCATAATATGGAAATTCGTATTTGAAGTTACAAGGCCATAATGATGACGTCAAGATGTACTTGATAGCCAAATGAGACATAAAGTCATATCTCTGACTCATATTCCGTCAAAATAGGAAAAAATGGGGGTCCGGGTACATCCCAAAGAGCACATTGTATACCGTAGGCTCCCCCCTCATATATATATATATATATATATATATGCTTTGTATTACAAGAGCTCGTGCGCACGGACATTTATCTTGAACGCCGACATTCATTCCGTTATTGATGGTCATAAAGAGATAAACATAGTATTAAATTGTTCAGACAAAAATGGGGAATATCATGCCAAAAAAGAAGGTTTTATGTTATGTTGCGTTCGGACATTTTTAAAGTGCTTGAAATTACCTAAAACGTACTCTAATTTGATTTAAAAATGATTTTGAGCATTTTGAAATTTTGCGCGCGCACATACGCGCGCATTTATTGACCGGACGGATAGTTACTTTTATCATGATAAATATGAATGAGAAATCATAATGCGTTATGAAGATACGATCATTCACAAAATGACGCCTCGATGACGTCATGATAAACTTGAAAATGTTGCTGTCACGTCTTATGACAATGACATATGACTGTCTCAAAATTGAAAGAAAGTGACCTGATCGATCTTGAGTTATCTTCTGCACAAAAAAGTTGAGAGAGAAATTGGAAAAAAGAAATAATATAGAAGAAAGAAAAATCTGCCGAAATCGATAGGTGGTCTGTCGATGACATTTTCGATGACAGACCACCTAATAATGACAATAATACTTCCACTATTAATAATAATTCTAGTCATAATAATACAATGCTATATTTATATGTAGAAAATATATGAAAGGAAAAACAGGTGCTGTAATTGCCCTTCTCTATTTGAGTCAAAATGCTTTTCAAACAAGTCCATTTTGAGGAGAGTTTTAAAATTAGAACTTGTGGATGCTTCTTTCACATGAGATAGGTTGGTGTTCTAAGGTGCAGGGGCAGCATAAGTAAATGATCGCTCTCCTAAAAACTTGGTCGGAGCAACTGAACATTGCAAGAGATTTTGTTTCTGAGCTGATTTTAGATTGATAGAGGGTGCACACTTTACCAAGGACACGTGATTGAGACACTGATAGGTCATAACCGTTTTTATTTTTATAATTATGCTTGATTGAAATAGGGGGCATGTACCTGCTTTATAAAAAGGGTTATCTGAGAGTATTATTTATTAATACTTTGGTCATTGTTGGTCAAACAATTGTTGAGTGTCAACTAACGCCTGGCTGGAATGCTCCCCAGGGAGTTGAGAATTGTACACACAGTTTGTGCGGGAATTGCTCCTTCAAGCACTCGCGAATGGTTTATAATGGTTGCTGGAGTTAACTGGATGACAATAATGTATAATGCACACTTTAGATGATTGATATGGGAAAATTAGGTTTTTAAAATATTGTTTTACCTTCTCTTTTCAAACATTTATGAAGGTTGTCCCCTTTGAAATACTAATGAGTGGAGCCAGGATCTGTGAGCCCTTTGTACTGGATTTTCCCAACCAGCCAGACAGTGTGTTAGTGTTACTGAAAGTAGGACAAATTGAGAAACTACGGGTCAAATTCGTATTTCGTTTGGATTTCTCAACACCTCACAGAACAGAGGAAGCTTCCACACAAGATAAAGGTATTTTGGTTTAAAGACAAGTTTGAGTTCTGGTAAAGGTGAAGAATCAATTTGTGAGATGTATTATTTGCTATATTGGTTGGAAGAAATTCATAATAGAAATGTCCCCTCAAAAGGATTGTTCTTCAAATGCCCTTATTTTTGAGAAAAATGACAAGAACAACCTGACTTGTTTAGACCAAACAGTCATTCCATGTGTTTGTGTAGTCCCATTTACTAATTCCTATATGCAGCGCATGTGTTTTTCATCAAGCTGGATCCAGTAAATATCAAGATGATGATTCGAAACCTCACAGTGTCCACTAGCTCCTATGTACTAGGCAATTAACCATTACTTCCAGATAGATCCTTCCTCAATCTTATTGTATGATCAGAATTGGGCTTTATCTTAAATCAAGTAATGTGGCAATTAAATTTGTTGCCGTGACCATCACAAATCAGGCACATGTTTGCCTTTATCGTCTATATATAGACGCAATATCATATCCATGTCTCAGTACAAGCTGTGCATTAATACAAACATACTACAAGGTTTGGATTTCAATTTCAACTTTATTTTATTTTCATCATTTTTAGATCTCTGTATTTCTCTTTATAGTCATTCCCACTGCATTACCATCATCTGATTGAGGCACAAGCAAAGTGAAATTTTACCATAAATGCGCTCCTACATGTATTGTCTCCGTTTGCGGCTAGAGTAAGGAGATGTAAGACTCTTGTTGGAGCCATTTTGTAATTTCCTCCATCTAATAAACTCTTACCGATCTTAATTTAATAAATGATGCATAACTTTGAAAAGGATTATGGTCTGTCAACTAAGACTAAAAAGTCCTCCTTGAGAATTTATATTGGTGATATATAGGATAACGAGTAGTACATGTAGTTCAATGTTACTTTTTCCTGTTTCTAGAATTTGCAGGACAACTGCAAGGTGCATCAAGTTCACAGACACCGCAAACATCAAATCGAAGTACAGGTGAAACTCTCGAGTAAGTTATAATAATTGTTCTCACTTTTAATACTATCAGCATGGCAAGTAGATTCAGACTGAGATCATAGCATATGCAGGTATAAACCTGAAATCACCAATGGCTTTGGAGGAGGGATAGGCAAGGGAGCAGTTTGCCCGAATTCCCCAATACAATTTGTTTAAAAAATGACCAACTGTGGTGTGTGTGTGTGTGTGTGTGTGTGTTGATAAGTTTTTATTGATCCAATAATATTTTTACAATGATATTTTAGCCAACTTTATTACATATATTGAAATTATTGCCAGGTAAATGACATTCAAATTGCTGCAAAAACTGCAGGATGCGAGTGGGCATTATCTTCCTTAAATATATTCTGATTGGTTGCAATTTAAGTTTACAATTAGAAACAAGTCTAAATGAAGAGAAGGGAAAACTCGGCTCAAATATCTTACAATTAAAGTCCAATATATATATATATATATATATATAATTGAATGCTGCTCGTACGCTGTGATTTAAAACCAGTTTGAGGCTGACTCACAAATATTAATTTAATGTCACTGTTACTCATGGTACATATATCAAAATCAAAATCATAACATTTCAAATTTAGAGGAGATGGGGGAAAATGAATGTCCGTCGCATTATACCTGTCCAGGCAAATTAGGGTCCATATATATATATATATAAAAGTGCGAGAATTCTTAAATCTGACATGACAACGGGTGTTCCAGAATATGTAGGCGTGAAGAAAATGGTCTAGGAACGTGAGACATAGCTGTACTATACAATTTTATTTCGAAAGTATTTCTCGTACTATTTTTTGCTATGTTCATGATGCTTGACTATCATTGAGTGATATTAAGTTTGTATGCCATGTATATTTGTTCATACGATGTATTTATTTTTGTATGTGTTTGCACTTCAGAACCTGAAGAAGGCCTCACAAGCCGAAAGCTCGTAATAAAATTGTAAAGTACAGCTACGTCTCACGTTCCTAGACCATTTTCTTCACGCCTATATATATATATATATATATATATTTATAAAGTTCAAGTCTTGCTGTTAATTGACCTCTTAATTTCTTACCTTTTTCATTAAGATTGCTGTTTATCGTAATGCAATTAATATATTTTGACTTTGCAATTATATTGAGTCGTTAAATGTTAGAGATCGCCCATATACGAGATTAGTAGATCATTGATTGTTTTGTTGTTGTTGTTGTATGTTTTTTTAGCCATATTATTTATTTCGCTTAATGTAGTATTGTAAAAAGCAATATTTTTTGTCGTCCCATGCTCGCTGTCTCCCAAGAGGTCGGATTCGGAATAGGGTCATCTCGTGAGGAGGGTTTAGTAAACATTAAAACTTATTTGTATATATTGTTTTACTGTCAGGTTGAGTTTTTTCCTCTTTTCTTTTACCTTTTTTTTTATTTGAAAAGAAAAAAGAAAAAAGAAAAATAATTCAGGAGAGACATGCAGTACGTAGTACGTTAATTTTTGTTTCACTCCTGGTTATTGTCATCTTTACTCTTACACTTAGTTATCTTTTTTACTCTATAATTTTGAAATTTGTTATCCAATGTTAAAACCAAACATTTGAGAATGATCATATTTGTTTGGATTGTAATCAATAAAATTTGAATGGAATGGTAATAAGAAACATACTAACATATTTTTTAAAATATCATTTATTGCAGGAACATTTCAGGTAGACAGGAAGACTTTGACGAAAAGCTGACCACTGTTGCTCAAAAAGTTGGCAAGCGTGATGAGATAGATAAACTCGGGAAGGCTCTTGGCTTCGAGCCAGATGATATCCAACGTTATGTCGACACAAACATGAAGAATCCAGATGTATCATACATGGGTACACTATCAATGCTCCGATACTGGAGAAAGAAGCAAACCAGGGCCATAGAGTGCAAAGCCCTAAAGGGTGTTCTAAGGAAGGCTGGTCAAATTCATCTCGCTGATGAGCTATTTGGTACTTAAAGGAACAGTTGAGTTCTTGTTTAAGACTGCAAATGCCTTCAGAGTGCATGGTTATTGCTCTTATTCTTATTTATGACATTTTAGTGCCCTTTTAGGACCTACAATTGCTATGAAGGTAATTTTAGACCCCAAATGTGTGAAATTTAGATTAAATCCGATCATACCAATCCAGCTTCACTTTGAAAAAAATACTGTGACCGTTAATTTCAAATAATAACAACAATAATAATAATAATAACAATACATGGTTTGGTTGGTTGTGTGTATTATAACCAACGCGCTATCTCGTTTTTTAACGGCTGGTTGAAAATTGTTAAATATTAGTTGGGCCCCACAAATATTAGAAATGGTTATATTTATTGATATTTCAGCCATCTTTGAACCGATTTTGATAAAACAGATGATTTTGTCAAATAAATTGTAACCTCTTTCAAATTTGACATTCAGTTTTTCATTATCTCACCAAAATAAATATTTGTGTATTGCCCTCTGTACCAAAACTCAACTATCCCCTTTAATGAAATGCAATTGTATGCTTCTCTATTGAGGACTTTAGTGTATAATGGTTGCGTAGCTCAATCAAAGTTCCATTGTTGGATGGCCTTGAGGAGGATATAAGAATCATATTGCCCAGAGTCATGAGATGAGGGCAGTATCCGTTTTTAAGAGCAACATATTCAGTATTCATACTCCCAGAAATGAGAGCCAGCCAATATCACTATTATCTTTTATATATCAGCCTCAGGTTCATAATCTTGCCTATTTCTAGCAATTACAAACAAGTTTATTTAATTTGTTTCGCCTTTCAGTCCTACTTTCTTCAGTTTATTCTTCGTGTTATCTTTACTGAGCAATTTATGACGTCAATCGTCACCATGCATATTTATTGTTTAAAGCTCTCTTTCATTTACTTTCAATTATTATTGAAAGTACTTTTCAGTTACAGACAGTTCTGTAAAAAGATGTGTGATGGTTGTACATGCAAAATAAAAATTATTTAAAATTCTTTTTTCTCAATTTGTATTTATGCCATGTACCAAATTTCTTAATTGTAAATTGAATCGTATTGTGGGTTGATATCGCATATAATACCTTTACAATGTCCAATTAATCGATTGACATAAATATCATTATCCCTGAAAGCAGATTCAGGCTTGCCCGCACACAATGTTTGCACATTCTCCGCTCCCTTGGTAGGATTATATCGGTAGTCAGACAACATTTTACAGACACTTATAATGCTGTACAAACTACAATTCCTTTTGTTCATCCTACTCGATATCCAATTAACCCCTGGGTGGAGAATAGCAATCTAGATCAAATGAATTGCTTACTGAAATAAAAGTGTGCCAGGGTAATTTCCAGGTAAGGCTTTTAATAGTGCTAATGCTCCAGTATTATATTGTTCACAACATATGATCAATTTTTTGTGCTAGTACGGTATACAAAGTTTCATGCTGGTGTATATACATGTAAAAATGTTCTATAATAAATGAAGGCAGTTGATTCCTAAACTATTGATTATCATTGTTGGGGTTTGAAGTATTTTCAGACAAAAACTTATTATACATTTGTATATGAATACTCCTGTCTTGATGTACAGAGTTACACTTCTAGGATAGCACATTGAATCTAATGTCTACCTTTTACTTGCCATTGTTTATAAAGGGCAATTGTGTACGTACATGTATATCTGATATGAGTTTACTGTATGATAGGTAAATTACTTTGAGCCTGTGGCTGTGCAATACATTTTATACATGAAATTAAAGGTTTGCTATTTATATTGCTACTGGAAGTATATTATATATTGTTTGGCATTAAATGTTTAAAGTTTGAAATATATTATTTGATGTAAAAGATTGTCAACACAGGGTTTCATAGGAATGAAGAATATTAAACATTGCTGCACTTTGAAGTGAATTCATCAGTAATTGCATTGGCTTTACAAGTATCATGCATGATTTTGTACATAAGCCTGATCTAAGATAATATAGTTTACTTTTTAATTCTTAAAACATGATCATAAAGATTTTGGAGAAATCAACTCAAGAGTAATTTCAGCACTCTTTCTATAGCCCTCTTTTTTCATGTCTAAAGTATTTAGCATGCATTTATCATACATGCATAGTTTGAACAGCTTTTTTTTCAATCCTTTTTGATAATAATTCTAACACTATTTAATCTACATGTATATTACCGTTAGTTTTAGTTACACATTCATTTATAAATTATGTTGACCCTATCTTTGTATTTTGTTTTATGTATGCACCAGCCAATGTGGAGAGCCTCTAGACAGAATTGTAAATTCTTTTAGGTGATCCTCAGGCATTGGCTGATGCTAACTATCATTATGTTTATGTTATATAATTTTGTCAACCTTGTGATGTTTTGTATGTTTTCGTCTTGCCTGGAAATAAAAAATAAATAAAATAAAAAATATTAGTTTTATCAATATTTGTTGTATTTATTTGATTTACCATCAGATTTATATACATTATATCTATACAATGTTATTTTATCATGGTTCGTAAAATAAAGATAAAGTGAAATTAAATTAGTTTAAATGTAGCTGTACATGCTCGCTAATTTGATACATTTTTACTCATCCCTATAATCCAATCCATATGGATTTGAAAGAAATACAAAGTTTGCACTACAATGTATAAACCATATTGCAATGAAAGTAGATTATATTTGAAATTTTTAGAAAAATACAAAAAGGCAAATGAAACTATGAAAGACGTGAGATTCAAGGCGTTATCCAGAGAAATAGGACTAATTGTGTGTTATATTTACGATGTTAATCCTCCTAAAACTCTCACCATTGGTGGAGTAAGGAAAAGTACTTATACACAAATAATTCACCAAGTATTCTGTCATAGTAATTTACTGTACCTTGTGGAATAGTGACTCATCATTATAAGTCCCTCTATTTTGGATTTTTGTTTTTGTTTACTAAAACATAATCCCAATATGTCATTAATGTAATCGTCTCTTCAGTATATTACGACAAAATATCGAACTTGAGATGGAAAACATAGACCCTTAGTAGTACTTCTTCTGTAAACATAAAATACTGAAATATATAAGTGTGAAATATGATTGCGAATTGTTACAAAATACTCTGCAGTGAGGAAATTATTTACATAAAAGCTCTGCCATTATCATTAATAGTTTGAAGTATTGCCTATTGAAGGATGCAAACTTTTGATTGCCCTCTTCTGTACATAGCATGATTAAACTCAGACATTAAAAATTAGGTACTGAAATTTCTACCGACTATATATACCCTATGTATGCAGATATAATGTTGAGCGTTCAGATATTAACAAATAAGAGAACAAGCTTTGTTTTAACGTATTTTAATATATTCCATGAAGACTTTTTTTTGTTTTTACATGTTATTACAAGGAGAAATATATTTTCTATTTTGTAGACTGTGACTTGTGTATTTCAAATGTGTATATTACAATGTCCTATTATCCACATATCATGTCAAACAGTGAATACACTGTTCGTAATGAAACAAAGAATGCTCCAATATCTGTTGTTGATATATACTTGTGAGAATTCCTTCTATGTTATTGTGCCGAAAGTCCTTACATTTTTAAATAACGACCTTCCATTTTCATTTCCTCTAATATTCCAGTCTTTCAAAAGTGTGTGTGCTGAAAGTATATCATTCTCTTTATATTGTACTCTTCTGTCCGTCATGAATACTATCGTTAAAGATGTATGCCAATAAACGTTTTTTAAACGTATAAACTATTACAAATAGCAACTTTGAACTTTGTGCCTCACAATACAGAAATTGAAAGCGTATTGACTCTCCGTCACCATAATAAAATTATTTAAAAAAGCACGGTTTGCTGCGTTATATCTGACTGAGCCTTTTAGTGATACAAAGAAAATGTTTATGAAATTGTATATTACTAGCAAGTATCAATGCACACGAAAAAGAAATTTCTGGAGCTCTTCCAGTCATCCTCATTGAGTCATTCATGCTAGGAGTCCACTGGGCCGGCGCCAGTTGGTGCCAGTTCGCGCCAAAGATTATGTGATTGGCGCGTAGTGGCTCGCTGTGGCGCCGAATTAATGTCCGCTCGGCATGTGTCGCCAAGTGGAATAAACTGGGTGCCATATGGCGTGCGCCAAATGCCACCCGGCTTGCTCCAAAATGTTGCGCCAGTTCGCGCCAGTTTGCGCCATTACACGGCCATTTGATTCCAAAATTCACCCTGTTGGCGCCATTCGCGCCAATAGACGGCTACTTTGCGCCAATTGGTGATTAGTTTGTGCCAAAGGTCGCCAAATTGGCTTGAAATTGCCGCCGCTTGGCGCTACTTGCCGACTAAATAAATACCAGCCATTGGCTACCTGGTTCAGACCCTCCTCAGCTGCTGTATGAACAACATCTCTACTAAATATTTACAATTTTGATATGTCTGAGGCTTTTGATAATGTTGGAGTGATGATGCTGCTCCATCAGAAGATGATGAGAGATGCTGAGGTGGCCACTGCCTATCAACTTATGCTGGCCAATCCTGAAGAAGAAGAGCCTCCTAAGAAGAAAAGGAAGCACAACTGGTGGTTTAGACCCATGCTCCACCCACAGTTGAGGGCCGAACGTGGACAGTATCACACTTTGATGGAAGAGCTGAGTGAGAATGACAGGAGGAAGTTCAAGAACTACAGCAGGGTGTCCCCAGAGATGTTTGATGACCTGTTGGTCAGGCTTACAACCCACTTGCAGAAGAAGGACACCCACATCAGGAAGGCCATTCCCCTGGTCTCAAGTTGTCCGTCTTCCTGCGCCATCTCGCCACTGGGGCCACCTATGCCGAGCTGTCTTACAACTTCCGAGTGGGCAAGAAAACCATCCAGAAGTTTGTCCCTGATGTAGCCAGAGCGGTAGTGGATGAGTTTGCTGCAGAAGTCATCTCCCTCCCCACAACCAATGAAGGCTGGCTTGAGGTTGCAGGTGATTTTGAAGCCAGATGGAATCTTCCTCACTGTCTGGGAGCCTATGATGGAAAGCA